TATATATATATATATATATATATATATATATATAATTTACGCCACATTTTGTTCGCTCATTCGTCTGTTGATGGACACTTGGGTTGTTCCCATCTTTAGGCTACTGTGATTAATGCAGCTGTGAACATGGATATACAATTATCAGTTTGAGTCCCTGCTTTTCATACTTTTGGAAAGTATGGAAGTAGAATTGCTGGATCATGTGGTAATTCTATGTTGAATTTTTTGAGCAACTGCCACACCTTTTTGAGCAACATCAAAATGGCTGAACCATTTTATATTCCCATTAGCAATGCACAAGGGTTCAAATTTCACCACATCCTTGCCAACACTTGTTATTTTCTTTTTTCCTTTTTTTAGTGATAGCTATTTGAATGGCTGTGAAGTAGGATTTTTATATTTTTTAGTGATTTAGTTATAGCTTTGGATTCTTAATATTTGACCATCTCTTGATCAGCAATCATATCTTTCAATTCTTATAATCCAGAATCTGTATTCCTTAACCTGTTTTAATTATGCTTTATTCTCCCAATAATTTTTTCCCCTCAAATTGCCTTTCTAAAAACTTTCTTTTTCCTCTCTATTCCAACAGTATGTATTGATTTTAACGATTGCTTAACCACATTTTGAAGTCTGTGAATCTTATTCTGGGAACTATTTCAGTGTGATATTTTGCAGAGATTATTGGAGTAGGATTCAGAAGACTTGTATTATTTACTAACTAGTTTTTTGACATTAGTAAATCGTCCAACTTCTCTTAAATGTCATTTTCCTTGTTTATCAAATGAGAAGTTGGATTAGATCCAGTTAAGTTTTATTCAGGACCTACTGCATTCAATTTACTCCTGATTAGGTGTAGGTATTATGAACATAAAAAGATGAATGACATAGTTTGGCTTTCAAGAACTAGCTTAATAGGTCCCCTAAGGATCGTCTAAATCTAAAATCTTGTTATTTTGTAAGTGAAAAGACAAATTATGGTTTTGTTTGCAGTTACTGTGAAATGGGGAAAGGAGAAATTTGAAGGTGTAGAGTTGAATACTGATGAACCTCCAATGGTGTTCAAGGCTCAGCTTTTTGCACTGACTGGAGTCCAGCCGGCCAGACAGAAAGTTATGGTGAAAGGAGGAACGTTGAAGGTAAAATGTAGTCCAAAATTCCATTATATACTATTATTATATAATTAGTGAAAATAATTAACACCAGGAGATGTAGCATTTGAGGTATTTTTTATTTGGTGGGAGTATATAGTCTATGGGATTAAAACTTTTATTCATGTTAGTATAAGGAGTAACATTATAACCATTTCAAACACTATAAAAGCATCATTAATTTATTTTATTTTAAAATGTATTATATTAGTGAATACCTCTGGTGGTCAGGGGAGTGGGGTACTTCTATTTATTTGTATTTGAATTTTTTTCCCTATGAGAGTATGTTAAGAGTATTTTATTTTTAGATTATTATAAAATCTATTTGTATTTTCTTAGTAATATGTATGGGGTGGAAAATTTTTTCTCTGTTAAAAATATGGAACAATATGGTAGATTCATTTTGTTTAATAAAAAAGACTTCTACAAAATGTAGTTTTGTTCAAATTCAAAGTATTTCAACATCTTTACCAAAGCCCCAGTTCTAGAATACTGGAAAACTTAATTTTTTTCTTTGACCTTTCTTGCATCATACCCATTAAAAAAGAGCCCCTTTCTCTTAAGAGTAATCACTATCTAACACCTACCTGGAGATGAGAGAGAAAAAATTTTTTTGTTTAAAAAGAGAGGGAACTTAATTTTTCTCTAGTTCCCTTGGAATGATCACATTGACTACAGTTAAGAGTCCAGGCTTACGAACATAATTGATGAAGGGCCACTGAAAAGATGTGAAAGTATTTTATTGTTTATAATATTAAAAAGCATTTTCTTCAAGAGTTAGATATGAAATGCTGAAGAGCTGTATTTAACTTTAGAGATAAAGCCAGGTGGTAAAACATATTGGTAAAGAAACATTGTTTCCCTTCCAAGTTGTACTATGAGCTTTTAGTCTTAGTGAACTTGATAACCTAATTTGTGCTGAGCTGTGTACAGGCATACCTCAGAGATATTGTAGGTGTGGTTCCAAACCACCACAATAAAGTGAATATTGCAATAAAACGAGTCATGAATATTTTTGTTTCCCAGTGTATATAAAAGTTATGTTTATACTATACTGTAGAAAGTGCAATAGCAGTATGTCTAAAGAACAGGCATACATACTTTAATTAAAAAATTCCTTATTGGGCCGGCTCAGTTGGTTAAGAGTGCAAATTCTGAGCAACAGGGTTGCTGGTTTGATTCCCACATGGGCCAGTGAGCTGCACCTGAGCTGAGCGGCCTCGAGCTGCCGATGGGCAGTCGGATGGCAACTGGACTTGGAGCTGAGCTAGCTGCGCCCTCCACAACTAAGATTGAAGGACAACAACTTGGCTGTTCCCCTTCCCCAGTTCCCCAATAAAATCTTAAAAAAAAAAAAAATTCTATTGCTAGAAAATACTAACCATTATCTGAGACTTCAGCAAGTCGTAATCTTTTTGCTGGTGGAGGGTCTTGTAAACAACTCAATATCTGCAAAGCACAATAAAGCAAAGTACAATAAAATGAGGTATGCCTGTACTGGTGGTATACTGTGGAGAACTATAGAAAAATATGAATGAATTAAATGAAACTGACTTCTGATAGCCATCACTTATTGAATACTTATTTTGTGCCAGGCTTTTATTTTCTTTAATTCTCAACTGTATGTATTTAAAAAATGATGAAAGTAAATCATTTTATATATTTTGTAAATGAGAAAACTGAGCATCAGAGAGGTTTAAGTAGCATGCAGTAAGACACCAGAAAAGCATGTGATTTAGAAGTCAAGCAGATCTGGGTTCATTTCCCACCTCTTTTGACTTCGGGTAAGTAAGTGCTCTGAGGGGGCATATATAGTTATAATTACTTATGATTAGCAGTAATAGCCCTTACACTGAGAAGGGTCTTCAGAAAGTTATTCCACTTGGAGCAGGGTGTCTAGAGAGATAATTAAGGGCACCACCAAAGGGAAGCATATTGAGTTCCTGGTACCTTCTGTAAAAAGCAAGGAGTACTATGGAACTGACTTTACCCTCCAAAGTGAAGGGCTTAGCTTCATTAGTCCAAAATATCCATGGACCAATCATGGCATTAACAAAAATCTTAATTTAATTGAACGTGTTGAAGTAAAAGTACTTGTTAATTGCTTCATAGATGTGAAATTTAGTACTTGAGAAACATTTGTGGACAGGGCAAGTATTATTAAAGGTTAGTTTGTCTTGGGTAATCCTGTTTACTCCCCTTGTGTAATTTTTAATAGCACTTTCATTCTCAAGAATCTTCCTGATTTGGGTGATAAATTATATAATTTCCTTAATTATGTAGACCTTATTTCATAAGCTACTATTCATTCTTGTCACATAGGCTAGTTATTAACTGCTGGTTCCAAACGTACAGCAAACATGCAAAAAATTAGCTTCTGTTATTTGTAATCAATCACGTTTTTTAGTATTTTTGGTGCCGCCAAGTTTCCTGTCTTTTAGATTGTGTTTTCTTATGTAGTTTAAGCAATTGTTAGACTTAATAGCTTTAGGACTGCATGTGCTTTTTAAAAAAAATACTTTTGATTATAGTAGTTTTAAATAAAATATGCTGACAAAAAATTCTCCTTTAAATTCGCTTAAAATTAGTTGATTATTAGATTATGCTTGGATTGTATAGGGTGGTTAAATGTTTTTTGTTTTCTTTAAAACAGGATGATGATTGGGGAAACATCAAAATAAAAAATGTAAGTATTATCCTAAGAACACATATTATAATGCAGTTTCCTAATTGTACCAAAATATATTCCAAATCCTTTTTTCCCATATGTATATCCAGTTGTTCCAGCACCATCTGTTGAAAATACTTTCCTTTCCGCACTGACTTATGTTGGAGTCTTTCTTAAAAATCAACTGTAGGTCTATTTTTGGACTCTTGTTTCATTGATACATTTGATTAAATTTATACTAGTACCATATGATCTTGATTACTAAAGCTTTATAACAGGTCTTGAAATAAGATAGCATAAGTTCTCCAACATTTTCTTCTTCAAGAATATTTTAGCTCCTTTGCATTTCCATATAATTTTAGAATAAGTCTGTCAATTTCTACAAATGGACTCCTGGAATTTTGTTTGAGATTGCATTGACTCTGTAGTTCAGTTTAGGGAGAATGAACATCTTAACAGTATTGAGTATTAAAATCCTTAAATATGGTGTACTTCTCCATTTGTTTAGGTCTTTTTATTCTTTTAACAGAATTTTGTTATTTTTCAATTCAATATAGTGATCTTGTATGGTTTTTGTTAGATTTGTGGAACTTAATGTTTTTTGGCTGTTGAAAACAATGTTTAAAAAAATTTTTTTTTCAGTGTTCGTGGTTAGATTATAAAAATACGGTTTATTTTCATCCTGTGACCTTACTAAATTCACTTGCTAGTTGAAGTAGGTTTTTTTTTTTTTTTTTTTTTTTTAGCAGCTGCTCAGCTTGGGCTGGCATCGAACCGCTGTTGCTCAGAGCTCAAACTCTTGAGCGAGCTCTTAACCAACTGAGCCACTCGGCCGGCCCTAAGTAGGTTTTTTTTTTTAAAGATTCCATTGGGTTTTCCATGTACATAGCATGATATCTGTGAATAGAGTCAGTTTTACTTCTCCCCTTTCAATCTTTATGACTTCTATTTTTTTTATTGCCTCACTTCACTGGCATACAGAAGTAGAATTAATTATTGTGTATTGGCTTGTATCCTATGACTTTGCTGATTTTACATATTAGTGTCCTAGGATAATGTAGATATACAATCATGTCATCTGCAATTAAGAATGGTTTTAGGGCTGGCTGAGTGGCGCGTTGGTTAGGAGTTGGCTTGGGGCGCCAGCCCTGAATAGCAGTGCCCCGGTTTGGATCCCACATGAGGGCCAGTGACGCTGTGCCCTCTACAGCTAAGATGGTGAACAACAGCTTGACCTGGAGCTGGACTGCCGTGAGTCGCCGGCGACGGCGTAGGCTGCAGTGGGGCTGGCCAGCAACAGGTGTGAGCTTTTGTGAGCTGCTGTGAGCCACTGTGAGTGGCCATCCAATGGCTGGTGAGCGACTGCCTCACCTAGGAAGAGCGCAATGATAATACCAACATGAGCCGGTGAAGTGATGTCCTCACCAACTAGACTGAAAAACAAAAGGACAGCAACTTGTCTGTTCCTCTTCCTCGATTCCCCAATGCTGTTCCCCTCCCCCAATTCCCCAGTAAAATCTTAAAAAAAAAAAAAAGGTTCTATTTCTTTTCAACCTCTGTGCTTTTTCTTTTTCCTTTTTTCTTGCTTTATTCCATTGGTTAGGATTTTCAGCACAATGTTGAGTAATAGTTGATAGTTGATAGTGGACATCATTGCTTTTTTCTGATCTTGGAAGCAACATCTCCAGTCTTAGCTGGAAGTTTTTTTACAGATGTTCATCATAGATTGAGGAAGTTCTGTTTCCAGTTTGCTGACAGTGTTTGGCATGAATAGGAGTTGAATTTTGTCAAATACTTTTTTCTGTCTGTTGAAATGATCATTTGTTGTTTATCCTTTAATTAGTTAATGTGGTAAACTATACAGACTTTTTTTAATAGTAAACCAACTTCACATTCTTGGGATAAACCCCACTTGGTCATTATGTATTTTCCTTTTTATATAGTGCTGGATTCTATTTGGTAGTATTTTGTAAAGGATTCTTATGTCTCTTTTCATGAGAGACATTGGTTTGTAGTTTTCTTGAAATGTCTTTGTATGATTTTGCTATCAGCATAATGCTGGACTTATAGAATGAGTTAGGAGACATCCTCACCTCCTCTCTTTTCTGAAAGTGTTTGTATTGTTTTTTTCTTTAAATGTCTTGTAGAATTCGCCAGTGAAGCCCTTTAGACTTGGTACTTCCTTTGTGGGAAGACTTAATTAAGAATTTAGTGTCTTTAATAACTGTAGGACCATTCAGATACTGTATTTTCTTTTACATCAGATTAGGTAATTTGCATCTTTTAAGGACTTGGTCCATTTAATTTAAATAGTTTAGTTGATTGGCATAATATACTCTGTACTTCTAGAATCTGTAGTGGTGGTTTTTTTCTCTCTTTTTTCCCCTCGTATTGGCAAATTGTGATTTCTGAGGCTTGTTAATTTCATTGATTGCCTTCCCTGAAAGAATCAGCTTTGCTTGTTTGTTTATTATTTTATTTTCCCCCTTTGCTTTATTTCTTCCTTTTACTTTGGTTTTAATATATATTTTTTCTAGCTTCTTAAGGTAGAAGCTTACTTTATTATTTTTGACAAGACTTTTTTGTTTTCTGTATATCTCTTGTGCCCATTTTTCTATTGTGTATCTGCCTTACTGATTTTTTTAGGTGCTTATATATAATATTCTATTTTCTAGTTGTCCGTTTAATTTTGATTATGATAATGTTTTATGGAACTTTTAAAGATTTATGTAGTTAGTGACATCAGTTCATCTTTTGTCAATTTAAGAAAAAAAAATTTTTTTTTTAAAGATTTTATTGGGGAATTGGGGGAGGAAATAGCGTTGGGGAATTGGGGAAGGGGAACAAACAAGTTGCTGTCCTTTTGTTCTTCAGTCTAGTTGTGGAGGACATCACTTCACTGGCCCATGTTGGTATTGTGATCATTGCGCTCTTCCCAGCTGAGGCAGATCGGTCGCTGGCCATTGGACTGCTGCTCACAGCGGCTCACAGCAGCTCATATCGGCTGCCGGCCACTCATGGTAGTTTTAAGAGAGCTCGCAATCTTGAGTGAGCTCTTAACGAACTGAGCCACTCGGCCATCCCCTGTTTTTCTTAATTTTAATTGGTATTGTTTTGGTCTTCTTTATTCTTTTTCAGAAATTTCTTAGCTATTGTCATGAGTATGAATTCGCTACATGAATTAATCATTTTGCAAAGTTTCAAATAGGAATTTCATTAAATTTGCATAATAATTTGGAATCATATCTTTATAGTAATTCTCTAGTCCAAAAACCTGTCGTGTCATCTTTCCCAATTTTTTTAGGTGTTTTTCTATAACCCTAAGTAAACTTTATAGTTTTCTTTTTTATTTTATCTTATTGGGGAATTCGGGAAGGGCAACAGCCAAGTTGTCCTTCATTCTGAGTTGTGGAGGGCACAGCTCAGCTCCAAGTCCAGTCATCATTTTCAACCTAGTTGTGGGGGGCACGGCCGACCATCCCATGTGGGAGTTGAACTGGCAATCTTGTTGT